GATTTGTGACCCCCACGGATTGTAGCCCGCTAGGCTCTTCTGTCCATGGGATTCTCCAGGCAAGAATACTGGAGAGGGCCACCATGTCCTTCTCTAGGGGATCTTCCTGACCCAGAGATTGAACCTGCATCTCCTGCATCACAGGCAGAGTCTTTGCTGCTTGAGCCACTAGGGAAGATATAATTTGGGAGAACGATGAGTACAAAAAGTCTTTTTAAAGGCAAAACAGTAAAAGAAGAAAGAAGAGAAGAGGGTGATGACAGATGGAAGAAAGAAAAACATACTAATCACTCTGAACATTTATATAAAGTAACCTGCACAACATGCAATATCACATTTGAGCTGTACACAAACAAGGTGGGTCAATAACTGATACAGTTTTTAAACTAAAGACACAATGCAAAGGGAAAGAAAAGTCCCGAATGCCTTCATCGGGTAATGCCAAGACCTGCCCTCCGTACAAGTCACCCACTATTCATTCATTATCTATGTGCTGTTTCAGTAGGTCACTGAAAAACAGTCTAAAGCAGGCTTAATCTGGAATGGAGCTCTCAGAAGACTTCTGCCAGGGTTCTAAAAACCTGAACAAATAGAATTCCAATGATACCCAAGGCTGCTTTCCAGGCTGAGAGAGTGGGAGATAATGCAATTCTCTGACAGTTTTTCAGAGTCAGGGATCTCTAGTCCCTACAGTTCTGCTTTACTGGAGGCTGAAACTGATCAAGAAAGGTTACCTTCTAACAGCTTGGACTCTATTACTTTCCCATGACGCCCGTGCTTCATAAAGGATTATTACTTATCAAGGTTCAGTTCAGTTCAGTCACTCAGTCGTATCAAGGTTATTAACCCTTAAATAAAAAAGACCCAAGAGACGGTTACAGCTGCGCCAAATTAATAAACACCATATAATGTGGGTACTTGAAGAAAAAGCCCTAATTTTTCTACCTTTTTATTGGGATAATATTTTCTCTTCAATGTATCATAAAGACCAATTAATTTCTTAAGTGTTTGAAATTGCAAATGGTTTAGGATTATAATAATGCATGTAGGTCTTATAAGTACACAAAAAGAGGGGAGGGTGGGGTAAGGGAAGCTGTGGCTTATAATTAATAACTGCTTCTGGAAACTACACATTCATATAGACATTTGGTCAATTAAAATAACTTTGTTTAGTTAGTGAATGGAAATTATTAATATATATTCCCTAGTGCATGCTGCACACATCACTGCTACCAGAATTGCTTTAAAACTATTCTTAACTCATCAAAAATCTCTATGATGTTCTAAATGCCTTCCCATAACAACTACTAAATGCTTTGGCCACTTTCTTACTATTATTCCTGACGAATATTTATAGAATATACATATATGTATATGTATAGCTGACTCACTCTGCTGTGCAGTAGAAACTAACACAACACTCTAAAGCAATTATACTCCAATAAAAATTAAAAAATAATCAGAATTTAATTGGGATACCAGGTTCATAGCAACTTACATCTTTCTTTTTCCAGATAATCTGAAGATTAGCATTCAATAAATGATTTTTTTCCTGCTTTTTCTTTAAACTTTTTATTTTGTATTGCAGTAGCTGATTAACAATAAATGATTTTTAAACTAAAAAAAATTTTCACCCGTGATGAGGTAAAGACCAGTGAAAACAAACTTAACAATCTGAATACCCAGGTTTACTAACCTTCATGTGAGTTTCTACAAGTAACGTATATTGCTTTCTGAGATCCACACACATAATAGTTAACATCTAGTGCTTGCGCCACCATTGTTCTAAGCATGTTATAATGCTAATAATTCTCAAAACAAGCCTATAAAGAGGCTACAAAGAGCTTGGTTAAAACATGGGGAGTGAGGGAGTTTACTAAGCCATTACTCAGCAATGATCAATTTTTATCTAAAAGGTCCACATGCAGTCAGAAAAACATCTAAACAGTCAATAAAACTAAAGTAAACTTCCTATAACTAATATTTCTTTTCATATGTAATAATATCGGCTTATAAGCTATGGTAGACAAAAATTCTGTTCCCCTTCCAATTCATGTACTCCAAACTGGTTCAAATTTTATCTATTAGAAAGGAAGAGTAAAAATAAAATAACAGCTTTCTTTTAGACTAGGCATAGCTAACTTATTGGCTTCAATACCCAGATAAAGTGGACTCAATTAGGTCACAAAAGTCACTGGAATCCTACCACCATGGTATGTAGGAACTTACTGGACTTGTAAAAAACTTTTCATTATCAGTAGTCAGAAAATTTCCAGAAAGGTTTAAAAAGTAAAATAAGAGAAAGGTCAAAAGCTGCAAACTTTATAAATTTTTCCATTTGAAAAGGTTGAAGAAACCATACTAGGATTGAACTCTTCTGAGACAGTGTGAAAACTTATATAATGATACACGGAGACCTAAAAAACCAATTAGAAGGAAGTTACACGGGATTTTGTGAGAAGTAGTAAATTACGGACAAAAAGCACTATTGCATTTACATCATAACTAATGTGAAACCTTGGGACACATACTGGATTGTATCTTGCAGAAAGCTATTTAGAAAATGCAAAAATGGAGTCAAAATAGGTGCTGCTGTTATGCCAGTAAACAAAAATTAACTTATAACCTATAACTAGTCTACTGGTGATCTGATTTAGGAAAGATGATTTGAGAGGACTAAGATCACTTTTCCTTTCAGGTTAATTTTTGTAGGCCCTTACTGTTGCTCGATTTATGCACTAGCATTCTAATGATATTCTCTACCTGTCCAATTCAGCCTTTGTGTTGTCACTAGTCACTTAAGTAATAGACAGCCTTCAAGTGTTTGGTTCCCTGATCACTCAACAGGCTAAAGTCCAAATTCCGTAGCACTGCATACCCACCCCTCCTCCTTTTCCAGCTACTCTCCTAAACGCAGCACTCACAAGGCAAGGGCTTCCTTCACAGTCTCTTGTCTCTGATCAAACACCTCTGTCTCTGTGGTGGTCAAACTCCAAAGCTAGGCTCTGTGTTTTGACCCTTGCAGGTACAGCCTAATTTCCTCAAAATGCCATGCAGTTTCATGCTTCTGTATCGTTGCATGTGTTATCCCATCTGGCTGGAATGCCTTTCTGCTTTACCACTTTCCAGCTGGGTGACCTTGAACAGGTTCATATACTTTGCTGAACCCTGCTTCTTCATATAAAGAACATTAGCACTCATTTGCTATCACTATGAAATAATGAATGTGAAAAGTTGCTTTGTAGACAGTCAAGCACTACTCAAGCATTAACAATCTTATCATAAATCAAAAGAGCACACAGTATTCTTGGTAAATATACTTCAGTTGACCTAAAAGGCTAAGATTCATCTCTTGGTTTCCAGCCCCCTCTCCAAGAATGCCCTGCATTTTATCCCACTTTCTGACTCCAGTAAGTCCTTGTTCTTCTGTCTTCAAACGATAAAAATCTATCATGATGGCTAGGTCATCTGAAGAAAAAGACTTAGTGGGAAGCTCCTCAAAGGTGAGGACTGTCCTTTCTTCCACCTCTCCTATTGCCTTCACAAGAGTACTGTGTGATGCACAAATACTGGTAAAAAGGAAAAAGATGAATGAATGAGTGAATGCAAGCATATCTTGTCCTTAGTGAGCTAATAATCAAAAGGAGTGAGTGATATGGTGGGTCCTAGATGAATTTGGCTTTATGAAAGTGGTAACAAATGTCTTCAATGCCATCTTAAAGAGAAGTAAAGAAACTGAATTGCCTGCTAAGCTTGTTTTATTTGGTGATTTGATATGTGTTGTAATTGCTGTCTTAGTGACTCATGCTTAACACGTAAATGTTTTAACATTATTAGAATCACATATGCAATTCAATACTTGTTTTTAAAAAATGTTCTGCACTAGGCTCAATGAGAATATGAAGATAAAGATGATGGATTTTTCCCATTAGATGCTAAACATACAGAAAGGAAACTAAGTCATCCATACATATAGTTAATACAAGGCAGAGTATTATAAGGTGTATGCAAGGCCTAAGGCTAGTGACAGTAAAGGAAGACATTTGAGCTAGGGTACTGGGCCCATAACAATTACAGCTATATATTACAAATTACTGGGCGCCAATAGCTTACGTTACCATCAGACATTATTTTACATATAAAACATCTGTTACATGCAATGGCGGATATTTCTGACCGCCTTCCTCCTTAATTAATCACAAACCTAACTGCATTGTTATCTTTACTATTCACATGTGTGCCAAACACAGTTCTCAGGCCCTTAGGCATATTACCTCATTTAATTTCCGTAACAACCCTACGACATGGATACAATTATCCCTATTTTACAGATGAGAAAACCAAGGCCCAAGCCTTGGAACTTTTCAAAGTTAAGAGGCAAAAATGAAAATATGTAAACAAGGACCTGAGAGAGAAATATGAGTATTCCACATAGCGTGAGCAGACCCACTTGTCAAAACTGCCTCGAGCAGTGCTTTTCCAAAACCTCTCCAGAACGCACCGGTGATAACAACCTCTATCCCTTCCCTTCCCACCAGGGATTAATGTTCTTTTCCCAAATCCATAACGGAACCGTTATTCAGATTCCCTCAAACATTTCCAGTCCAGAAGCCAAACCGGTATTTAAATCATAAGCAGTTCAGGGCAAACGAGACCGAATCAGATCCCTCGGTGGACAAAGCTCAGGTAGGATCACGAAATTAAACCTTTCGGGTTGGCCATCCATTCCTGGATCACCTCCAGGGGATGGCTGCAGCATCCGGCTTACCCAGGAGGCGCTACCTCGGCAGTATCCTCTCCTCCTGACCCCAAGCGGCTGGGCTTTTGCCATCTGCTCGCTTTACCCTCTACCTGCCGGAGCTTGCCTGCATCCTGTTCGGACCAATCTCGAGGCCTCACGCGCCTCGCTCTTCCCGCAGTTAAGTTCCAAACCCACCCGGGTGCGTGTCGGCTCCTGCAGAAGCAGCCCGTCCCGCTCCCTCCCCCGGCCGGCTACTCACGGTTCCAGTACACCGGGTAGCATTCTCCTTGGGTCACATCCACCTCGTAGAGGCCGCCCCGCACACACACCCGCTCGATGTTCACCAGCTCCTCCATCTCGCGCCCGTGCCCCGCAATGCGCGGGCAGAAGCCGCAGACGCGGTCCTCGTCTTCGTCCTCCATGGAGCTGGAGGCCGGACCCGCGGGGGAGGCCGGGCCGCACACATGGTCGCCGTCCGGGTCTTGGGCCCGGGCTCGGGTCCCCGTGGCCTGCAGCAGCGTCCGGAAGGCGAGCTCGATGCGGAGAGAGTCGTAACCGATGAAGGGCTTCCAGGTCTTCTTGTCCTCCTTGTAGAACCAGCGTACCTCCTCTGGGCCCAGCTCCGTCACCACCTCGTATCTGTGCCGGGCGGTCGCGCCGCCGGGCCGGGTGCGCTTCCTCTCCCCGGGGCCCCCTCCAGCGGCCCCGCCGCCCCCCGAGTTCGACGGGACCAGCGGCGGCTGCTGAGGCGGGTGGAGCGACGAGGAGCTGCCGCCGCCTCCACTCTCGCCCTCGCTGTAGTAGCGCAGCGAGGAGCCCGACTCTGCCGAGCTGAAGTCATAGTTATCGTCACTGAGACAGGGGTCCAGCGCCAGGTGATGGTTGTGGTCCTCCGCGCCCGGCGCCAAGTGCAGCCCGGGCTCCCCGCGCAGCAAGGCCAGGGGCACCTCGTCATCGCCAGGGTCCCCGGCGGGCAGGTGGTCGAAGCGGCAGACGCTGCCGCCGAACGCCGGTTCCGCCTCCGAGCCCAGCTCCCAGGCGGCGCCGTCGCCGCCCCGGCCGCCGTTACGCTCGGAGCTCCGCGGAGACCCGTGGCCCGGGTAATTCATGCTGTGGAGACGCCGCCGGCCGCCCGGCTCAGCGCCGAGCCGTTGCCCCCAGCGCTTCCGCCACACATTCAACGCCGCCGCCCTCTCCACCCGGAGTTTTTAATCTTTCAAATCCCGAAGGGGGCTGCGGCGGTAGAGGAAGCGGCTCCGCCCCCTCTGAGGCCCCCGGCCGCCGCAGCCGCGTGCCGCCGCCCGCCCCATTGTCACGCAGCCCGCCCCATTGTCACGCAGCCCGACGTAGGCGGTGCTTGCCCCTGGGCCCCGCCCCGCCGGCCGCGCGCGCTGTCCCGGAAACCCCTTCTCAACCCGCGCAGCGCGGGCGCGGCGCCCGTTGCGCCTCCCGCCTCGGCGTCCCGGTCAGTTCAGGATTTTTCAATTCCCTTCGCCTCCGCTCCCATTTCCCTGCGGGTGCTGCTGCCTCGGCCCCCGCCCGTCTGAGGGTCAGAGCCCAGGTGTGGAGAAGCTTTACCGGACTCATCCTTGCAATCTGGGTCATGAGCCCAAAGGCTTAAGCTACCCTTTGAGAGGGCCCCGGGAAATTGGATTCTCTTGACCCTGCTTCTGTGACCTTAGGCCTGCCTGCAGCCCTGGGTGGACCTTATCAGCCACCTGGCTCTGGTCCCTTCAGAATTGTCGGCCCACGCGAGGACACTCCACCCCTTGCCCACTGATTCCTAAAGTGGCGTCTCCACTCCCACTCAAACCCAGGTCTAGATCTGCTTTCATATGCTGTCTGGTATTATTGTTTGTCTTTCAATACTTATTTCCTGTTTTCTCCAACCTGAGGCCCCTGTTGGAGACCGAGTCTGTATGTCTCAATCTCTTCCACAGTGGATGCACAGTCAATGTTGATTATAATGATGTCAAGTCCAGCCAGTTATGATAGATTACTAAATTGAAAACCAGAAAACCAGGTTCTAGAATTAGTTTTGATAACTAAGCTACGGCTAGTTACTTAACCTCCATCTTTCTGGTTTCCTCATCTGTAAGATTAAGTAATTATTGGACTAGTTGATCTCTTGAAAAAAGTCTCATAGCAATGTGATTCTGTAACCTTCAAGTTTTCTTCCTGTTCTCTATGTATTTCTGATTCTGTGGCTCATTTTCTGGAACAGGCTGAATGCTGAAGCTCCCCAATGTGATTCTTTGATACTACCAAAAAAAAAATTGTTTATAAAGCCAATCACCCTATGTTGAGAATCCAGAGAAAAACAATCTCCAACATCCGTATTCTCAAGATCAGACAATATTCATCTTTTTAAGATTTTTTTTGATGTGCACCATTTATTGAATTTGTTACTCATTGCTCCTATTTTATGTTTTGGTTTTTTTGGCCTTGAGGCATGTGGGATCTTAGTTCCCTGACCAGGAATTGAACCTCCATCCCCTGCATTGGAAGGTGAAGTCTTAACCACTGGATTGCCAGGGAAGTCCCAATATTCACTTTCTCCCCCTCCCCCCGCCCCCACCAACAATCTGTTGTGGAATCAGACTGATAGAGAATTTTTTCTTGCTCTTGGGATCTAACCTCTCATTATTTAAAGGACATTTTAATTATTTAAAAGATAATTTAAATTCTCTTTAAAAACGGCATTGTTTCCCATGGGCAGATACAAACTACTGTTGGGGTTCATGGCTTGGTAAGTAGAACATAGGTATGGTATCTGCTCCAACTTGTGCTCTTGGCTGGGTAATCTTGCACAATGATAAGCAGTTGGATATTGCAGCGCTTACTCAGAGCATGTAAGATCAGAGCACTTGTTTCTGTTTATATTGCTTTCTGAGTACCCCTGTGTGTCAGTTTCTTCCCTAGTCTTTTCTATGGACAATTTTCAGAATCTGAAATAAGGTCTGAGCTTTGACCTATTTGTTATCCATTATAGCATTAATTCTACAGTGTTTTGATGTCACCTATGCATCAGAATCTAGATGTGCTAGATTCTAATTGAAAGAGAATGGGAGAGACTCAGTTCCTTCAAGGATCTTACTGCCTAGTGGGGGTTACATACAAGTAAACATATATGGTATAGTACAGGGTGCAAAGTACTATGTCTGTGTGTGCTAAGTCACTTCACTTGTGTCTGACTTTTTGCCACCCAATGGACTGCAGCCCTACCAAGCTCCTCTGTCCAAGGGATTCTCCAGGCAAGAATACTAGTGTGGGTTGCCATGCCCTCCTCCAGGAGATCTTCCTGATCCAGGGATTGAATCCAAGTCTGTTACATCTCCTGAACTGGCAGGTGGGTTCTTTACTGCTAGTGCCACCTGGGAAGCCTGTGCAAAATACTAAAAGTTCAGTTCAGTCACTCAGTTGTGTCCAACTCTTTGTGTCGGACTGTGTTGGACCATTGGACTACAGCACGCCAGGCTTCCCTGTCCATCACCAACTCCCAGAGCTTACTCAAACTCATGTCGATAGAGTCAGTGATGCCATCCAACCATCTCATTGCCTGTTGTCCCAATTCTTCTCCCACCTTCAGTCTTTCCCAGCATCAGGGTCTTTTCCAGTGAGTCACTTCTTTGCATCAGGTGGCCAAACTATTGGAGTTTCAGCTTCAGCATCAGTCCTTCCAATGAATATTCAGGACTGATCTCCTTCAAGATGGACTGGTTTGATCTCCTTGTAGTCCAAGGGTCTCTCAAGAGTCTTCTCCAACAACACAGTTCAAATGTATCAGTTTTTCAGCACTCAGCTTTCTTTACAGTCCAACTCTCACATCCATATATGACTACTGGAAAAACCATAGTTTTGACTAGATGGACCTTTGTTGGCAAACTAATATCTCTGCTTTTTAACATGCTGTCTAGGTTGGTCATAACTTTTCTTCCAAGGAGCAAGTGTCTTTTAATTTCATGGCTGCAGCCACCATCTGCAGTGATTTTGGAGCCCCCCCAAAATAAAGCCTGTCACTGTTTCCATTGTTTTCTCATCTATTTGCCATGAAGTGATGGGACCAGATGCCTTGATCTTAGTTTTCTGGATGTTGAGCTTTAAGCCAACTTTTTCACTCTCTTTCACTTCCGTCAAGAGGCCCTTTAGTTCTTCTTTGCTTTCTGCCATAAGAGTGGTGTCATCTGCATACCTGAGGTTATTGATATTTCTCCCAGCAATCTTGATTCCAGCTTGTACTTCATCCAGACAATCATTTCTCATGATGTACTCTGCATATAAGTTAAATAAGCTAGGTGACAATATACACTCCTTTTCCTATCTGGAACCAGTCTGTTGTTCCATGTCCAGTTCTAACTGTTGCTTTCTGACCTGCGTACAGATTTCTCAGGAGGCAAGTCAGGTGGTCTGGTATTCCCATCTCTTTCAGAATTTTCCACAGTTTATCATGATCCACACAGTCAAAGGCTTTGGCATAGTCAATATAGCAGAAGCAGATGTTTTTCTGGAACTCTCTTGCTTTTTCGATGATCCAATGGATGTTGGCAATTTGATCTGTGGTTCCTCTGCGTTTTCTAAATCCAGCTTGAACATCTGGATGTTCATGGTTCACGTATTGTTGAAGCCTGACTTGGAGAATTTTGAGCATTACTTTGCTAGTGTGTGAGATGAGTGCAATTGTGCAGTAGTTTGAGCACTCTTTGGCATTGCTTTTCTTAGGGATTGGAATGAAAACTGACCTTTTCCAGTCCTGTGGTCACTGCCGAGTTTTCCAAAGTCTCTGGCATATTGAGTCCAGCACTTTCACAATGTCATCTTTTAGGATTTGAAATAGCTCAGCTGGAATTCCATTCCCTCCACTAACTTTGTTCCTAGTGATGCTTCCTAAGTCCCACTTGACTTCGAATTCCAGGAAGTCTGGTTCTAGGTGAGCGATCACATCATTGTGGTTTATCTGGGTCATGAAAATCTTTTTTGCATAGTTCTTCTGTGTATTCTTGCTACCTCTTCTTAATATCTTCTGCTTCTGTTAGGTCCATACCATTTATGTCCCCATCTTTACTTGAAATATTCCCTTGATATCTCTAATTTTCTTGAAGAGATCTCTAGTCTTTCCCATTCTATTGCTTTTCTCTATTTCTTTGCGTTGATCACTGAGGAAGGCTTTCTTATCTCTCCTTGCTATTCTTTGGAACTCTGCGTTCAAATGGGTATATCTTTTCTTTTCTCCTTTGCCTTTCACTTCTCTTCTTTTCCCAGCTATTTGTAAGGCCTCCTCGGACAACCATTTTGCCTTTTTGCATTTCTTTTTCTTGGGGATGGTCTTGATCCCTATCTCCTGTACAGTGTTATGAACCTCTGTCCATAGTTCTTCAGGCACTCTGTCTATCAGATCTAATTCCTTGAATCTATTTGTCACTCCTACTAATTGTAAAATTGTAAGGGATTTGATTTAGGTCATACCTGAATGGCCTAGTGGTTTTCCCTACTTTCTTCAAGTCTGAATTTGGCAATAAGTAGTTCATGATCTGAGCCACAGTCAGCTCCCAGTCTTGTTTTTGCTGACTGTATAGAGCTTCTCCATCTTTGGCTGCAAAGAATATAATCAATCTGATTTCGGTATTGACCATCTGGTGATGTCCATGTGTAGAGTCTTCTCTTGTGTTATTGAAAGAGAGTTTTGCTATGACCAGTGCCTTCTCTTGGCAAAACTCTATTAGCCTTTGAGCTGCTTCATTCTGTACTCCAAAGCCAAATTTGTCTGTTACTCTAGGTATTTCTTGATTTCCTACTCTTGCATTCCAGTCCCCTATGATGAAAAGGACTTCTTTCTTGTGTGTTAGTTCTAGAAGGTCTTGGAGGTCTTCATAGAACCATTCAACTTCAGCTTCTTCAGCATCACTGGTTGGGGCATAGACTTGGATTACTGTGATATTGGATGGTTTTCCTTGGAAATTAACAGAGATCATTCTGTGGTTTTTGAGATTGCATCCAAGTACTGCATTTTCGACTCTTGTTGACTATAATGGCTACTCCGTTTCTTCTAAGAGATTCATGTCCACCATAGTAGATATAATGGTCATCTGAGTTAAATTCACCCATTCCAGTC